GGCAGTTAATAAGATGTATCAGGATTTGAAATCACAGTTATTGGGGGCCGGGCGATGGAAGAGGATATCACGATTATGTGTCGAGGTGTTTGACGTGCCAACAAGTTGAAAGCAGAGCATCAGTTCCTCGGGTTTGTTACACCCTTATTCTATTCTTAGAGTGGAAAATGGGATAAGGTTACTATGGATTTTCGTGACTGGGATTGCCTTTAACTCCTAAAAGAAAGATGCTATATGGGTTAATAGTTGACAGACTAACTAACGTCAGCAACACTTTCTTTCCTTTATTAGGACCGACTTCACCATGGAGCATATGCAGAGCTGTATATAGGATGAGAAGTGAGATTACATGGGGTTCCCTTCTTCCAATCATTTCAGATAGCAAGATCCGAGATTTACTTCTAGAGATTTGGCAGAAGCGGATACAGAGGCCCTGGTACTAAGCTTAAATTTCAGCAACAGCTTTTCATCCCTCAGGACAGATGGTCATCAGAGCAAGGTTATTTCAGATTTGGAGGATATGTTAAGAGCTTGTGCTATTTGAGTTTCGAGGGCAGTTGGGAGAAGTACATTCGACTTGTAGAACTTTGCCTACAATAACAGATTTATCAGTCGAGTATTCAGATGGCCCCTTTTGAAAGCACTTATGGTAGGAGAATGTAGGACTCCACTTGTGTGTCAGAATTGAGTGAGGGCAACGCATGGTAGGTCCCGGATGATTTCGGGATTACAGACGGAAAAGGTCAGAATTATTAGAGAAGATTGAAAGCAGCTTCAGATCTGTTCAGAAAATTTCTTATTGCGGAATTGAGAAGGAAAGATATTTAGAGTATGCAGTGGAGATAAGGTTTTCCTTTAAGGTATCTTCCATGGAAAAAGATATTTGAGATTTGGAAGAAAGGGGAAAGGCTTAGTCCTAGGTTTCATGGTCCATATTGAGATCATTGAGCGTGGTGGCCATTAGCCTATAGACTAGGTTTACCACCAAGACCTGGATAGGATATATAATGTTTTCCACATATCTATGTTGAGGGAGGTATCGGTCCGACCCACTCACATGTAATATCAGTGGAATCTATGGACCTATAGAGCCAGATTTAACTTATGAGGAAGAACCAGTGAGGTTACTTGCTAGGGGAAATCAAGGAATAAGGAATAAGAGAATTCGTTGGTATAAAGGTCTTTGGAGAATCATTAAGACCGAGGAAGCCTTACATCTGGGGAAGTGAAGATTTATGCAGAACAACAGCATCCCTCAGTTGTTTAATTCAAGGTGAATATTCGAGGAACGAAATTGTTTAAGGGCGGAGGAGAAACTGTAACGCCCCATTTTGCCTGTGTTTTCAATATAGTTTACCGAATCTGTGAATAGTACCATCGGTCCGGAAGTTGTATTATTTTTAGTCCGGAAAAAATAACTATTTTATGTTTTATATTTTATTTAACAATTTTGAGCATGTATGCATGGTTTTATGGGTTAGAAAGTAAGTAAGGAATATTTTTGGTGAGAATTTTGATAATTAGTGAATAGTGAATTATGCGTTTAATAATTAAGTAAGGAAATTTTGGAAGGGGGGGAGGAAAAAATATTTTATGGAGGCAAAATTGAGTAGTAATTATTTTATGGAATAAAATTAGAGAGTTTTGTGGAGATAATAAATGTTTGAAGAATTTAATTGGAGAATATTTGGAGAAAGGACCATAAAACACCCTCCAATTTGGAGAAAAGACCAAAATACCCCTTAGTTGCTTTATAAAAGCAACTCATCAATTATTTGAAGCAATACACTTTGTCCTTCTCCTTTTCCTACACAATTTCCTCTTCTTTCTTCTTCTTCTTCCTTTTCTTCAATTCTTACTTAGTAAACCCACTTACGTAAACACCCATCCAACTTGCATTTAAGTCAATAAAATCTTAGAGGTGAAGCTAGAGAAGGTAATCGTTGGTGACCTAATATTCAAGGAATTTGATGATTTCCTACTTGGGTCAGTAAGTGATTTTTATGATTAAGTGAATTATTTTTTGGGTTTTGAGTTGTTCTTTTAGCATATTACATGCTTAATCATGCTTCCAATTAAAAACTTTTTTTTTTTTTAATTTGTTCTTTGTTGATTTTGAGTTTCTTACATGTAGAGGGGTGGAGAACCTTCTTAAACAAAAGATAAGGGCCAAGACCAAAGCTTGAGAAGCTTTGATTAACAGCTTGTTAAAGGCTTGTTTTGGAAGCGTTAGTGTTCATAAACAACACTTATACTTACTCAATTTTGATTTTTGTGCCTTTATGCGTATTATGTGTATATTTGAGATTTTGTATGAAATGATTGATTGTTGAAATTTTTGATTTTCCATTACATGCTCTGGGATTGATTGTCTTGATGAGTATTTAATTGTTGTGGTAGGACATTTCTAACCTTGTTATCTTTGTGGTTCATGTTCTTTCATGGTTAAAAGTAAACCAATTTTTGGGAAAAACGTGATTTTTGAGTGAGATTTAGGACCCTTTTTCGCGTCCTTTTCTAAATTTCCATTTCTGTCTGAGTACCTTCATTTAAAAAGTTGTAGTTTCTATCTCTTAGCTTTCCAACCCATCCTCTTGTGTCCCAATTGCGAGGATATATACTCAACTTATGGCTGAAACACCCAAACTGACTCTGTTTGTGTCGGGCCACACTGCATCACTGAATTGAGTGGCCCATTTTGACCCCTATAATGACAAGATTAGTTCTGAGTTCTTCATTAAACAGTTGTTTCCCTGTGTCTTGAGACTTTTTCTCGTTCTAGATGGTTTCATTTGAGTGTTTGGTTATAGGAATTTCAAATAAAAAATGCACTTGGTTCTGCTGAATCAGTCTTGGTCTGTCAGTCTGTGTTTCCTAGCTTTGTTTTGTTATCTTCCATATTGATCTGGGCTGTGATATCCTTCATAACATTTGTATAATTTGTCTTAGCTTTTCTTAATGACTCTGATTTCATTTAAATTTGGAGACCCCATAAAACTCAATTTATGCTTTTAAAACACAGCAAAGGTCAACTGGTTAATTTTATGCTGGATTTTTCTATGTAAGGTCATTTTGTTTAAGTATGAAATTTTTATGAATTACTTAAGTTTAATTAAGTTTTTATTATGAGGAAGACTAAAGAAACATGCAATTTTATGAGGAAAATGGTTTTTGGGTTCTAATATACTTGTAGTGAAACCCCTCCCCAAAATGTCATGGGCATGTGAATGCATGTGACTAAAGGAAGGAAACACGTGAATGTATGAGTCGCCACCTTGTTTAATTGTTTTTAGGGTAAACTAGGGAAAAAACCCTAAGTGACCTCAATTTTAATTAAACCTAGGTTACTAGATAATTAGCCAATGTCTAAAGGCATGGTTCTTCGAACCCGAGTTGGATTCCGAGACATATGTCAAGCTGATGAAACTAACCTAAGAATGAATGTTTTGCAAGGAAGATGAAAAATTTAGACCAAATGAAAAAAGGTGTTTTATGTGATTCGACAGCCGCCCGGGGTTATGATCCCCGTGCCTACCGTACTTTCCGTTTGAATGGAAGATCAAAGTCAACGGTAGTTCGATTAGCCTTCTTTAGAGGGCTTTGAATGGATGCTTTATGCATGAGTGTGGTATGCTTTGTGCATTTCTGTTTAGGCATTTGTGCCAAAGAATTGATGTTTTAGGCATTTTGCCAAGGTTAATTGATTTGAATTTAGGCATTGATGCCAAAAAATGTTGATTTTGATGGCTTTTAGCCAAAAAGATTGGATTAGGCAATTTTGATTGACCAAAAAATGAATGATTTGATTTTAGGCGATTGTCGCCCAAAATGATTGATTTTAAGGCTTTTAGCCCAAAAAGAGTGATTTAGGGCAATTTGATTGCCAAAATGATTGAATTTTTTAGGCCGTATTTGTCGCCAAAATTGATTGATTTTTTTAAGCTTTTAAAGCCAAAAGAAGTGATTTAAAGGCAATTGATTGCCAAAATGATTGATTTTAGGCGATTGTCGGCCTTAAATGATTGATTTTAAGGCTTTTAAGCCAAAAAAGATTGATTTAGTTTTTAAGGCATTTTGCCAAAACTTTTGATTTAAGCGTTTATTACTTAAAAAATGACCTGATCTTACTTATTGGCAATTTTGTTTACTAAAAGTAATTAAATCAAAACTGCAATGTCAGGCAATTTAATGCCAAAAGAACGTGAATAATTTAGGCTACTTAGTCACAATTATTTGTGAACTTGGACTTAAGCCGGAAAATTGTTCGAATAAAGGCAATCATACCAAGCCATTGAATTAGACTAGAATATTTAAGCCATATTTGTCGGATTTTAAGCTTTAATTACCACGATTATTAAATTAACCGGGCATTTTAGCTTAATCAGGCTTTAAATTGACAATTTTGCTTGCCTATATGATGACATGAATGCATTTATGCAGTTGTAGAATTAAAAGGAGTAGGAAGAGAAGCATGCATGAAGTGCTAAAATTAAATTAGGCAGAGTTTTGTTTACGTTACCTGATTTAATCGGTCGGACCGCTTTCTTAACTCCAGGGTTAAGCTCCCTCGGTTAAGGTAATTAATTTTAATTTTAATTTAAGTGGACCAAGTATCACAAACAATAAAATAAAATAAAATTTAAAAAATCAAGAAAAGTAGTAAAGAATCGCAAAAAGAGCGTTAGGGAGAAGGAGCGTCTGGTCAACACAGACTGAGATGAGGAAAATTTAGGAGGCCCGAGGCCATGTATTTATAGGCGCCAAAACGGAACTGTTTCCGGTGGCCGGGGTCCGGCGGCCCGCGGGGCCGGGGCCGCCGATGGACCGCCGGCTCGGCGGGCCCGCCCGGCGGCCAGGCCGCCAAGTCTTGAAGGCCGGGGCCGCCGGCCGGGCCCGCCGGAGCGGCGCCTCCCGGCGGCCGGGGGCCGCCGGGGTCTCGGCGGCCCTTCGCGTTCGGGCCGCCGGTCCGTCGGCGGCCTGGGCCCGGCGGCGGGGCCGCCCGGATAGGCCGCCGGGTCGGTGGCCTTCCCGCGGCTGGCGCGCCGGGAATGGATGCCGCCGACTTTCCGGCGGCCTTTCCGCGGCTGAGCCGCCGGTCCTTCGGCGGCCTTCCCGGCGGCTGAACCACCGGGATGGGCACGCCGGCTCTGGCGGCTTGGCTCCGATGGCTTGAGCCACCGGGGCAGGCAAGTTCACTCCGGGGGCTTTTCCGGGGAGTTCCGCGACTTTCTAAAAAATATTCCGAGGACCATTCCGTTGATCTCGTAATTTCCGGGACGTTTCCAGTACCATATTGGCATATTTCCGGTGGAACTTTCCGAAAGGCTCCGGTGGCCGGACTGTTCGCAGTCTGGAAGAAAACAGGCTTTTGAGCCTCAAATATTGAGTGTTTCACAACTTGGTGTGGATTGATGCATTGATTTGATTTTAATATGGATTGATGAGGCGATCTCGGCATTTGATGCCATTATTGATAAGAAAAAGAAGCTATGATCATATGCTAGGCACGTGGGTGTCTTATGTTAAGGCGGACGCGCTCTATATGTTATGAAAAGGTTGGCGGACCTAAGGCCATTATGAATAAAGCTATGAAAACTTATCTAGTCTTTTCTCTAAGTGTATTGTGAGCCCTTATACAATATTTTAAGGAAGTTGAAATAAATGAGATCACATTATGTTTAATAACTCTTAGTTACCACAATGTATTTATGATATTCAAAATGAATTTTAAAGCAGATGTGTTGGTGTTACAATGTAATACTGTTCAAATTTAATGATTTTATGTATACAAATGATTTTTTTAAAGTATGTGGCATCACAACATTGGTGTTTGTGTTTTATGAGCACCACTGAGTTATACTCAGCGCGTTGATTTTATTCACGCCGCAGGTTGGAGATTGTGCTTGCTGCTTAAAGACCGGAAGAGTAGCATCAAAGCTGAAAGAGATCTTTTGGTAGTTGATTAGTATTTTATTGTAACTAAAAAAATTATGCATGTAAATAACGATATACATTTTTGGAGACATGTCATTATAATTTATAACTTAAAGCATATTGTTGGTAAATAACTTTTGGTGGTATATATTGGAAGATAAACTTTGGACCTTATTTAATTGGTTAGAAATTTAGCCGTTGAATGATATTTAAGATGAATGAAATATTAAAATTGTTATTGAGGAACTATTGGAGTTATTGAAATTATTAGAAGTGCTATTGTGTTGTTTATTGGAGTTTGATGGGTTTGGAGTTTGGATTTGGAGTGCTTGTATTCATATGTTGGCAACTTCTATTTTTTAGGGGAAACTCTTGCGTTTTTCTATAGGACTCTGCCAAATCATTTTCAAAACAAATATTCTTACTTGCTAAACTTATGAATACCTAAGTCAACTTCTAATTCATAATATGATTGGTATGATTATATGCTAGGTTTAACGGGCCCGGCACTGAATGGTGGCATCTCCACCGTTCGGGTCTTTCGGATCGGGCGGCGGGTTTTACACGAGCAGCTGTTGTGACGCAGATTCACCTTTCTGGGGACCGTTTGCCACGTCATCCAAACAGAATGCAAAACCGTTATGTCGGCTTCAAGGTGGACAGTCACCTTAGTTTGAAGTTGCGTGACGCAACTATCCAGTGCCGTCACGCAACCTATAGCTATGGACGCAACTCTACTTTAAATCAGCCACTTCTATTTTGGGTTAAATCATCCTTGGGTTTTAAAGGACTTCCGGTCCAACCATGATCTTTATTCCGCATTCTGTTATCCTCATCCGGGCTAGCCGGGTCATGAAGACACGCGTCTCAACACTACTACCCTTAGTGCTAAGAACCAGGTTTGCCGATGCATGGCTACTCTTGCCCTCCATGGGTTGATGCCAGTCCTAACATCGTCATTAGCCTCTGGAATATTCAGATTCATCAAACAGCCTAACCCACTGGTTGTAGTCTTTTCAGCTCAGTCCGATGGCAAACCGTGCGTTCTATGACATTCATATGTGGTTAGAAAAGGAAGAATAATCCTTAAAGGCGCCTCTAAATCTGACAAAAAGGGGGGGACCCTTTCTCCGGAAGCACTTACAAAAAGTCACTGAATTTGTGATTGATAAATCAGTACTAAATATAAGAAATTTCGATCACTAAATGATATAGTGACTGATTTGCGACAGACATTTAATCAGTCAACAAAAGTGCTTGTCACAAATAATTTTGCCGACCAAATGACTAAGCGGTCCACAAATTCAAGGACCGATTTAGTTGGTTGCAAACGCTGTAAATAGTCGATCGGCTAATTTTCGTCATGGTTTCCTTCTGGAAGGGGCTTGTCGCAAATTGGTCCCAAGAAAGTGTCGGTTCAAAATTATGAACGCAGGCGCAAATCAATCACAAAATTCTGAAAGTCTGATTAGTTGGTGATCTGTCGCAAATTTAAATTTAACGGTTATATTTAGTGCAGTTTTGTTCGCCAATCAGTCGCAAAATATATTACAGAAAAAAACAATAATTCCATAATATTAAAGGACCATAGTTTTTTTCCACCTGTCAAAAATCGACATATAATATAACATCACAATCATCATCCACAAACACAAACAATCTAAGAAAAACTGTTAAATGTAATGTTACTATACAAAATATGAAAAATCACAAAAAGCTAAAAATTGGTCTAAAATCAAATCTATGATGTCGTCCTCTTAGACAAATTCCAGGTGTAGTGTCTACTGGATTAATTTTAGAGTATCAGCTGCTGGATGTGTCGTAGTGTCTGTTTTAGTATCGGGATCAAGAGGAGACGATAGTGGGCTGATGCAGAGCTGTAGAAACATGGTGGATCTATAACCGGATGGAGGATCATAGGAGAAAAGTACCAGCACCGATGATGGCCGAACATTCCGCATGACATGCGCTCTAAGCTTTGCAAGCTGTCTCTCTTGCACCATTCAATATGAGGCCCGTTAAGCACTAATCTCCTCGCACCTATAGGATCGGGCTGGGTCTCATAAGAGCCGCAGAAGCGTCAGATTGCTTGAGCCACAGGTAAAATAGTGATGCGTGAGACCCAATGCCATATACTTTCCTCTTCTTTTCGCCCCCTACGGCCTCCAGACTAAAGCTGCTAACTGATTAATTCTTGACTCGGGCCTTCAGATCCTAGCCTAAGAAGAAACACACGCTCGCGAGCTATACTGTTAGTTCTCCTAAAAAGAACATATTATATTATCAATGTCGTTGCAAGCCTTTATTATATTGAAACTTGTTCCATGTAAGAGGAAGCCTAGACAGCTTAAAATTGTTGAATATTCTTCATTTACTTACATTAACGCCCAATGCACGTCTATCGAACAAATGATTTTCATCGTGGTCCTTTGTGTGAGTGTAAGTGAACACACCCAAATCGTGTGGGCTTCACAAAACATAATTTTTCAGCCTGCTAACAAATTTTTTATGCATTTGATAAAATTAATATGGTACCATTTCATGAAACAGTTCAGTTTTGGTAACTGTAGCTAATTGGTTATTAATAATCAAAATGTCTCTATAGCATTATATTGATCCGCCTGTGTCTGGAAGTCCAGCTCCGTCCACCGCCAATCTCAATTGCGACTTGTTTCGTGTTAACTATCTCACACTTTATCTTGGAATGCAAGATCGTCCCATAGCCTTCTGCCAGCCCTCCCCATACTCCTGAGACACGCCACTGCTGCTTTTTTCTGCTTTTTTCGCATCCTATAAGTGAAGTCAACATTTACTCGTAGAGGCTCCACAATTTCTCCCAAGCCACTTTTAGCATAGGCCGTAATAGCCTTTCCCATTACCAAAATGCTTCTGCAAAAATGAAAAATAAAATTTCCAAAAGAGTAAGTAAGGCCCAAAGATTTCAATTATTTAATTACATTTGAATGAAGATATATAACTTTGAACCAAATCGTTGCCATGAAAACTCTTCCCAATAAAAGTCTTTCTTGCCTTTTGTGGTACGACATCCCATGTGTATCCATCTTTATCCAAGATATAGCTTGATTATCCTCATAAATTTTCTTTGATGCTCGAAAGATAGATATATTGCTTGCAAAAAAAAAATAGAAGTGAATATTAAGTAGACGAAAAGCATCAAAATTCTGAACAAAATCAAGTTCAAAGGAAAAAAGTAAATAAATTACTGACTGTCGCGCTACCAAGCTGAGGTTATTACGTGGCTCTGATGAAGCCTTGCACAATAAGTGACAAATGCTATTCAAATAGATAAATAATTTAATATATAACTGAAAATGAAAGTTTAAATTGCCATATTATGATTTACCTTGGTGCAATAAGAGTGACTGTGAAGCTGGTAAGACTCTAACTGCCGGGTAGAAGGAGGAAGGAATAGAGGAAGAGGTGCGACCACGGGGAGGCTGAGCAGGAAAGATGAGCCCTAGGACCGTACCTGAAGAAGGAAGCGAAATAGTCACTCTTTGTCCACGTGTACTGCTCCCTCGGCCACGACCTTTCACGCGACCACTGATCGGACACATTTGAAATCAACCGCCCTGCCTCTAGCCATCGTACTATAGATAACAAAAACCTACCTATGTATTGTTTATAATTACTATATAAATTGTAGGAAACATGTGCGTAAATATGTTGGATCAATCAAATTCTAATATCAGAATTGTGATTTAAAAACAAAATAAATAAATTTAAATTATTATTATTTATGCTAATAGTTATTTTATGCAGAATTCTGTATGGCAAAAGAAACGAACAAAGCAAAGTCCTTACAAAATTTCATTAAGTGTGTGAAGATTATCCGAAGACTCCTAGTTAGGTATTTAAGGATACATTTTAGAATAAGAGAGAAAGAAAATTCATCTTATAAGCACAAAAACTTAATCTTTTCTCTCTTAAAAATATTTTTTCGAAAAATTAGATCTTTCAAAAATAAATTTTTTCGGTCATATTTTGTTTTTCGAAAATTCCTAAAGAATCAAAATGATTCAATTACCTAGAATTAAAGAGATTATGTCTTCTGTGAATTACTTCAAATTTTGAAGGCTTCAAAAAAGCTGTTTTCCCGGACTGCCAAAACAGTTCGGCGGACCGGAGAGGCCATTCGGAAGTTCACCGAAGTATGCCAATATGGTACTTGAAACGTCTGAAAAAATTACGAGGATTCGCAGCCAGGAATGGTCCCGATATTTTTTGGAGTGTCCGGAACTCCCGAAAAAAGCCCTCCGGAACGAAAAAATTAGCAAACTTACCAAGCCCTTGGCGCACCTGCCGCCGGGCCCGGCGGCTTCGTGCTAGCCGCCGCGGCCGCCGGCCACGGCGGGACAGCTGTCGCCCTCCAGGTCGGGTTTTTTTCCTATAAAATATCTGTCCCCGGCACTTCCGTTTTGACTTCACTCAGTCTGGTTGACGGACACGCTCCTTCTTCCCCTACGCTTCCTTGCGATTCTTTACTACTTTTCTGCATTAGCA